CATTCCCGGCAACAGTCCCCCGTTCCATTGTTACATTTGCCCACAACTTTGCCAGCATGAGGTGTCACTGGCATTTTTCATTTTAGGCTCCTGAGAGGTGTGCTGCGGTAGCTGACTGCAGCGTTAAGTTGCCTTTTCCTGCCGGCCGGTGCAGTTGGTCGCCTTTTCGCGTGTGTGCGGCTCAGTCTGCCCCCGCGAATGTTGCTGCTCACGTCTGCCACCATTTTTCTAATTGGACTGCGCGTGTGCCTTTGCTATTGAGTTTCCACGGCTTTTGTGTAGTCTGGATATTAGTTTTACCTCAGGTTTGTAGTTTGCAAATATTTTCTTCCCACTTAAAGTTCTTCTTTCATCTTAACAGGATCTTTTAGAGAGCAAAAAATTTTACATTTTAATGGAGTCTAATTTAATGATTTCTATTTTACTAATTGTAGTTTTGATGTTGTATGTGAGAACTCTTGGCCTTAACCCTAAATCCCAAAGCTTTTCTTAATTTTTCCTCTAAAAGTTTTCTAGTTTTTGCATTGAAATCTATATTCCATTTGAGTTATTTTTTCACATGAGGTGTGAGGTTTAGGGTCTCTGTCTCTCTCTTCCTACTGAGTCTAATTGCTCCAGAGCCATTTGTTGAAAAGATTATCTTCCCTCCATTAAATTGCTTTTGTACCTTTGTCAAAATCAGCCAAGCAGAGCTGTGTGGGCCTATTTCTGGGTTCTTCATTTTGTTCGATTGATTCAGGTGTTTAAGCCCCATAGATACTGCACTGTATCTTAATTACTGTTGCTATATGGAAAGTCTTAAAATTAGGTAGTGTGATTCCTTCAACTTCATTTTTCTTTTTTGAAGTAATTTATTAATTTATTATTGCAGTAACTTTGAATTTCCATGTACATTTTACAATACAACTAATACTGTTCTCTGATGATCAATTTTTATTGAAAAAGGAAACATGAGTTTGCTATGTCCAACGGTTCTATCAAATCACATTAGGAGAAAAAAATATATAAACACTGCACTTAAAAAACTTCCTGCGACCCTGTTTAACGGGCCCCTAGTCGGTGGATGGGCCTCGCCTCTGGCCCTCAGGTGGGGAAGGCTGTGCTCTCCGGGGAAGCTTGCTTGGTCCCTCCCCTCGCTCAGGGACTCGCTGGTGGCCGAGAGCCCCATGGCAGCGTCTCTAGGAGAGATGGATGGATGGGCTGATGGATGATCCAGCTGATGGATGGGCCCAGGTGTGCTGTTCTGCCCATCTATGGGCTCCTCATGGACGAAGGGAAGCGGTCAGACCTTCGTTCGGCCAGAGCTGAGTGCTGCCTGGGGAGAAGTCGGTAGTTGGCGGCGGGGACAGGGTGGAAGCCGTGAGGAAGCAGGGCCGAGAGCCAGCGAGGTGTGCTGGGAGCAGTGGACTCCGGCAGACAACTTGGCAGATTTCTCTGGGTGGGAAATTGCGAAAGCAGGAAGCTGCAGGCGTCCTCGGTCCGGTCCTGGCAGCAGCCTGAGAAAAATGAGGAACTAGACAGGCACGCTCTGGAGCTGTCCTCGGTCCTGAAGCACCTCTTCCCTGAGGGACCTGAAGTCCACGGCGGAGCTGGCCTTGTCCACTCCCCGTCTACAGGCCCCGCACTCCACAGTGCTCGAGCAGTTCAGTCAGGGCCCACAGCCATCGTGTGGCACGGGACGCTCTCAGGTGTCCAGGACCTTGCACAGATAGCAGCGCGCCCCGGAACGGAGAAGCTGCCCGGCGAATGACACTAGCCAGGACCGGTCATCGGTTGTTAGCATCTCGCTCCTCCTCACCCCTCTTAACGGAGGGAAATGGCCTCAGCTTTCGAGGTTTTCATGAGCAGCACTCTCCAGGCTGGGCTCTGCTTTCACTGTGGTTTTGGGTAGTGATTTTTCTATCCGTGCTTTCTGCCCTCAGACCACTCCTACTACACAGTAGCAGTTCAAACCATCAGCCAGTGAATGATTGAATTAGATTTTTGCCTTATTCTTTAATTTATTATTATTATTATTATTATTATTATTATTATTATTATTATTATTATTGTTTTTACCCCAACTGACTATGAACTTAGTGAACATAGGGGCCTTGCCTTTGTTCTGTTCTTTGCTATTTTGCTGCAAGGGCCTAGCCAAGTACAGGGCCATGAGGTTCCCAAGCATGAGACCACAGCCTGTCCTGGGGAGTGAGTGAGCAGGACCATGGGGAAGGCACAGGAGAGTCGAGGCTGCTGGGCTGGGCTCCCTGTTTGTGTCTGTGCCTGGAGGAAGCGGATGTGACCGGCCAGCATGAGCCCCACTGCCTCGGGAACTTGGCTGGCCGTCCCTTCCTCGAAAGCCACTTTGAGAGGATGTGGCCCGTGCACGCGTTTCCTCACACACGTCCTCTCTTCCTTCCTTGCCGGCCTGGGCCTTGCCCTCAGCCCTCTGTGGCTGGCCTGGCCCCTTCTGGCTCTGCAGCCCTGGCACTCACCTGGACTTCTCAGTGCCGAGGACGGAGCCTTCGCCCAGCTGTGGGCCCTAGCCTGCCTCAAGGGTCCTACGAGGGTGGGAGACCAGCAGGGAGCTGGAGCACTTCGTCCCCCGAAAGCCAGTCAGCTGGAGACTCAGTCGCCACTCGATCATCTCTTTCTTTTTTGTTGGCCTGCAATAATTTGCTGTGTGCTGAGGGTCCTATACTGCAACTCTGGCTGAAGATTTTCTTAAAAGAAAGTCCCCAGCCAGGCTGGACGCATTAGTGTTGTCAGCATGACCGTTAGCCTCCTTCAGAGTGAAGGTCAACAAATAATTTTCAGCTTTGTTTAAAGCCTCTTTAATGGATTCTATAAAATTCTCTAATTATGAGTGATTTTCTACCAGAGTGCTGGGGAGTGTTTTAGAGCTTCTCTGTACCCATTTTGCTCTGTTCACACAGAGTTCAAGTTGTCTAATGTACTTAAGCAAGAGGAGGCATTTCTTTTCTTTCCTTTTCTTATTAAAAAAATAAATAAAATCCTACAATTTGGGGCTTTATTAGGTAGGCCAGCTCTCTCTCTTTCTTTGGTCTGATTTAAGGAGTTTTAAGCTTTACTTTCTGTCTGTTTCTTGTCACACAGCAAGAAGCGAATGCCATTTCGATGACTCAGAAGTCCCTTTCTGACAAACAGACTGTAAGTGCCTTGTGGGGTGCCCATCATCTCATTTGAGCCCCACCAAGGAGCACTAGAGGAGCCACTCAGCTCAGGGTTCCGTGGCCTCAGCACCGGTGACATTTGGGGCTGCACCTTCCTCTGTGCGGGGCTGTCCTATGCTGAAGACCTTTCAGAAGCATCCGTCTCCAGACACTGTCCAGGGCCTCCTGGGCAGCGAAATCACCATTCACTGAGAACAGCTGGCTTAAACCAGTGATGGCGAACCTGTGGCATGCCTGCTACAGTGGGCTGTTGGTATTATTGAAAGCTCTAAAAGGTTTGCTGTCACTGACTTAAACCATTTTTCAGGTGAGGGGACCAAGGCTCGTGTGCACAGAAGAGCTTGGCAGTAGAGCCACAGCTGTTGTGCTGCAGGGGCAGGCCTGAAAGCCTCTCAGTCTGCTTGTGCCAGTGGCCCATGGAAGCCTCGAAGCCCAGGCAGGGTGTCAGTCTTTTCTCTCCTCTGCTGTGCTCACTTCCTGCCACCTTCCTGCTGCCATCCTCTGCACCAGTGCTTCTGTTCAGCAGCTATCTCTTGGGGTCTCTGTTCATCATTCTTTGCCTCCTCTTCGGAGTCTGGGGAGGGAGGAGGCATCATGATTCTGTCCCACAGTGGTCCTGGGAGCCCATTCGCAGGCTGGGGGAGTGACAGAATGTGCACTAGGAGCGAGAAGATGTCCCTACAGCCGCCATGGCTTGGAGATGTCACTGTCCTTCCCAGCTTGGTCCAGTTCCTGTTCTGTTCATGAACTGGAACCAGACTCCCCGCTGACAACCGTCTGTGGCACCCGTGTAGACACCAGTCTGAGAATGTCCACTGGTGAACCCTGACCTACCTCATTCCTGATACTGATCTTTTCCTGCACTCTCTTGCTGCAAGAGTTGAGTTGGGCAATGTTAACAGCAGGGTGAAGGGTGGAAAGCAGGGAGAGTGTAGTGTGTATGTGTGTTGTTGTTGTTGTAAGGGGGTCCTTTCATCTAAGGTTTTACCCATGTGGAAAGCATTGGATTAAAGAAAGCATAACAAGAATTCTTTATTTCAGGACTTCTCAGAGCCTTTACCTGATAAGTGTTCTGTGATTGTCCCAGAGCAGTAAGGATGCAACATTTCCCAAGGTACTTTGACTACAGGACCCCTTTTCTTTTTCGTGAAGTGTTTCATTTTATTGTCCAAAGAATGTTCTTTGGGAAAAGTGTCAGCCAGAGATGAAAGTCCCTCTCACCTACTTCCTATTGCCAGTTTTAAAGCAGCTTTGAAAGTAGGGAGTGTGAGACACCATCAAACTCTCTTTGGGTTGGATGTTTCTCAGGGGCTGGATTCTGAGCAAGACCCTGGGAGAGGGAAAATGTCTCTCACGTGATCAGACGTCCCCAGAGCCCCAGGGACCTCATCTACCCGTGCACTGCCTGACAGTGGCCTGGGGACAGTGTGGCTGAGAAAGATGGATCCGGGGGTCCCTGGGGGGGAAGTGCCCACCCATACCCTCCTCTTCCTCAGAAACTTGAGTAGAGAGATAAAGGGGACAGAGTGCAGGGAGAGGAAGGAAAACAGAAGTTTCCATTTGTACCCGATGGTTTTGTTTTTTTATCTGTTTGCAAATGTTCAGTGTAATGGTTTGAAACCCAGCCGTGGAGCTGCTGCCGCCCACACGCAGAGCTGCCGTGCCACTGAGCTCTCACAGGCAAAGCCATCTCACCAGCGTCGGCCATTACCCCGAGCCCACAGCAGGCAGGCTGCTCCCCACCCCGGGCCCTGCCCCTGCACCCTGGCACCCTGACACCCACCGCCCTCCACACACACACTTCTTCTTTTTTTAACTCTCCAGCACTCGGTTTTCCCTAGAGGAGACATAAAAAGAAGGCAGACATGGGACTAGCAGGGAGAATGCTCCTGCCTCATCGCAGCCTCCGGCTTTCGGGAGAGAGCGGCAGCCCCCCGCTGCCTGTGGACTGACCACTCAAAGGTGAGAGAGGACTTTGTGATTTCTTTGTTCACCTGGAGGTCTGGGATGCAAGGCCAGGTGAAGGGATCCTAGTCACAGCCTGGTCTGATGCCTCTGAGTGTTTCTATGAGGCAGATGATGGCTGCTCCCTGCCAACACACCCTTTTCTCTGACACAAGCCCCCACTCAGGGCCCGGACAGAGCCTTTGAACCCAGCGGCTCCTGCTGCCCCCCCCCCACCTGCCAGCCCAGCCTCCCAAACCTGAGGCATGGAGTAAGATCTATTGGTTGTGGCCCTGCCTTCCCAGAGTCACCTTGACCCACGCTTTGGGGGCCACACAGAATGGTTCTCCGTCCAAGGGGCTTTGGGAAACCTGTTTCCCTAGTGGCCCCAAGCCCGGTAATCAGAAGCAATCAGACCCAGCTGTCCAGCTAATCTGTATGAAATAGGCTTCCTTCCTTGTAGAAACCAACAAAGTTTAAAATAGAAGGGACTGTAATCGGAAACAAAGCTATAGAGTTCTGTGTGTGATGCCACAGGCAGAGACATCCGCATGGAAAATATTAAGTACAAATTACACGGCTTACAACCATGGGAGCCAGGAAAAGAAGTGATTTCCTTGCTTATTAAGCATGTTTATGGGTCGGAGGGTAGCTGAGTGGGGACATCACTTCTGGAAGGTTGAAACTTCTCAGCAAGAAGGAGAGAGAGAAAAGGAAGAACAACAAAGATGGACAGAAAGCAAAAAGAAAAAAAAAAAGGGCCATAATGTAATGTACATGATAAAAGAGAAGCAGAGAAAAAGGCTCCCAGTTCTGTGCAGTCAGGGGATGAATCAGTTGGCAAAGATCTATTTTTAGTCTCCAAGATCTGCTGTTACATTTTGCCTGGCATTAATTAATGTCACAGGCATGTTTCATGAACGCTTCTGAAGGGCCTTAGCGTGTCATTCAAACTGGAGGTGTTGATCCCTGGTGTGGGCACTCCCCAGCTCTCCAAGGTCTGGTCTCAGACACAAACACGCATCCAGAATATTCTGCTCTCTGTCCTTGTCCTCTTGGGTCTATCTGTTAATCTCCTTGTTCTAGCCCTTGGGTGTCTGGCCATTAGCCAAGGGAGAATTGTAATTGTTATGCTTTGTTTTTCAAAAAGGAGAGGTTGTACAGCTTAAATTATATATATGTCATTGGTCATGGCTTGGGATAAAAAAATTAGGAAGAAAAAGGAGACCCAGATGGGCTGATTTTGACAAAGGTAATTTCATGACTTGGGAACATCTTCTAATATAGTTTAGGTAGTGTAATACTTTGGCATGAACTAATGACATGACTGGGACGGGCTGGATGTTGGGTGAAATTGTGTGTGAGGCTGCTTATCCCAGAAAGGCCTGCCTGTATTTCAGGGGCAAGGTCGTCGTTCTGAAAAGGAAAGTCAGAGCAGGACTACCATAAGCACGGTTCCTAGCTTCCTGGTGTGGAAACGAAGGGTAGTGTCCAGTTAAGGAGGAGGCAGAATGGGCAATGAAAGGCCAAGTGGTAGTCATCCAGTTGGGACAGATGTGTTTGTACATTCGTACTATTCTCGGGTCAGCGAGACAATGGGGCTACGTCATGGCCCCTAATGAGACCTCCCTTGCACACTCCTCAGCTATTCAGAATATCCTCCCATTCTCCTAGAGTTAGTCTGAGCCATGGAGGCTTCATTGCCTGTCACCTCCTGTCAAGGCTGGTGTGCAGTTTCTTCATTCTGTCGGTCGTTTCCCTGGTTGGCCTGTCTAAGACAGAGCAGGCTGGAGAGTCCCCATTGTGTTTAGTGACATGTGATTGGAAGTAGGGCAATTTGGAAGGTACAGAGGTGCTCTGGGTGCTCTGGTCATCATCGGCACAGCTAACTTTGAGGTTCCTGAGAAAGACGTCCATCCTTGACTCACTGAAGTTATTAGGAATAAGGGGCGTAACAGAGAGTGGAGCCAGCAGAGTGCTGCCCGTGGGTTTCATATCATGAGGCTCCTTCCAGCATGCCCACTGCTGGGTCAGGGATCCTGAGTCCACCCGTCTCCATTTAACAGACCCCAAGGTGCCTTGATCTTGGGCACTGCCTCCTTCCCCAGAGGATCTGGAGCCTGGGAGAAGGGCACAGTGAGGTGCTCTGGGCTGGGAACAACTGTGTCCACAAGACGGAGAGCCAGTGAATGGTGCCACATTGGTAACGGGTTTCTCTGGCTCTTTCAAGGCTGGCCACGTTAGTGACCATTGTTAGGCAAGCTGGATTCCTAGTTCCTGTCGGCAGACTGGACAGGCAAATGGCTTTCAGGCCCTGTCCTCTGTTGGAGATCTGACTAGTGACGCTGTTAGAAAGTCCACAGAGATTTCAGTAGCATCCTGTGGTGCCCCAGAGGTCCCCTTTCCTGCTTTGTGAGCCCTTCTGTGCAGTAGTGGTCTGATAAGCAGGAGCCAGTAAGGGGGTCTTAACCAGTGGGCCCAATCTCAGGGGAATGCATGTTCTCATGGAGGAAGATCTTCTCGGGGCCTGGTGCTGACTGAGGGAGGGCCTGTCCTGATGTTGTCGTTGCCTCTTCCCAGTGGGCATGGTGCCTTATCATCACCATCTTACGGAACAAAAACAGAGCCTATGTTTTTGGTTGTAGTCTTTGTATTTTATCTTAAAAAATACAAAATGTTGCATTGCACCCACAGTATGTCCACTGATCTTGCTTTAAGACAAGATCTCCCACTCAAAACAAATCTTCGGGGAAAATGGTCACTCCTGAAAAGAGGCAGGTATTTACCCGCAAGTATCCACAGCCTGAGGCCTTCTGCATAAGCCAGAGGCATCCACTGTGCAGTGTGCTTCCTCAGAGTTGCCCGACATAGATCTCAGGCCTGGGACTGGCTCTAAGGGAACAGTAGAGTTTGGCTTGAACCCGTATGCCCAAGCTTGGGCCCAGCCTGCACGGTTCTCCAGCACAGGTAAGGAGGCCTGCAGGGCCCTGTTGCTGCACTGCACCCTGGGAAAGGTTCTGTTTGACCCCTGTGTGTCAGGCAAGGTGCTGGGCAAAGAGGGCTGGTGCAGGGGCTTCTTTCCCCATGGGGCTAAGCCCCTCCCACAACCCTGTGGCTAGACCCTCACGCCAACCCCAGAGCCAAAGTGGTCCGGCCCACAGACCCCCCTGTTGCAGCTCGCCTCTTCCTCTGTGACCTGCCACGGCCCTCACATCCTGAGAGAAGCCCTAGAAACAGGCTCTGTTGATACAAACACATACAGGCTTTGCCACAGGAAACGTAGTCTCACATTTGCAGCAATAACCACTGGGCTCCTCACACAGACTAAAGCAGGACAGATTTTAGATTTTAACTAAATTAGGAAACATATGCTCTCTCTCCCTCTCTTTCTCTCTCTTTCTTCCTGCAACATTTCTCAGTTTTCCCCATTTGTGGCCCCTGCCCTCTCTTCCCATTCTAGGCTGGGCAGCTGCACAGTTAGGAAATAGAGACTGCGTTTCTCTGAGGTTAGGTAAAGGCTGTGGAAAAACAGGATATTAGTAATAACAGAAGCCAGTGGGCCTGTGGTCACAGGTAGGGGTGTCAGATAAAACACAGGACTTCCAATTAAAATCTGAGTTTCAGGCAAACTGAATACTTTCTCACCATAAAAAGATTATATAAGATATATTTACTGTTCCTTTGAAATTCAAATTTAACTAAGCACCCTATATTCTTAATATATGTGTTATACCTAGTAACTGTAGCATAGGAGACGCACACCATGAAACTCAGAGATGCGACTGTGAAGAATCAGGAAAAACTTTATCCAGAGTTGGCTCCTGACCCTCTGATGGGAATAAGCAGCCCACTATGTGCCCACAAGATCTCGCATTAATGTTTTATGTGTGAACACCTCTCCTTGGGTCTGCCCAATAGAGATGTGTTATAACTCGTTGTCCAAGGGAGACTCTGAGGCGCAGGGAGATTGTCACGAATCCCTAGGGTGCTCTGCCAGCTCCTGGCCTGTCTCCCTGCATAGTACTCGCTGGCAGTGGGTGGGTGAGCAGAGCAAGCTTTGGAGGAGCAGTAATAACAGGTTAGCTTGGAAGTGCTCTGTGCGGAGATGGGAAGGCCTGTGTCAACACATGCAAATTATATGCAAATACATTGGCCTGCCTGGAAGGCTCACTTACCCGGATGGGAGACCCAGGCACACAGCCTCCACCTGTCTGTGGGTTTCCAGCAGGGGCAGGGGTAGTGGACTGAGAGCTGCTGGCCCCTGGGAGGCCCACATTCCTGGGGCGTGTGGGTCGGGGCGAATGCACGCACATGTTTTCTCTGTGTGGATGCAGATGTGACAGGGCTGGTGTGGAGGCGGATGCTGAGGCTGTGGGGTGTGTTGTTGTGTGCGTGACCTGCCACCATGATCTGTGTACTCCCAGCAAGGCACACGGCTCCCGTCTCCCAGGATAACCTTCCCCGAGGCTCTGGAGAGAAGGAAGCAGTCCTTTAATCTGGGCCTCTTCCCGCTGATAGGGTACATGACAGGGGGAGATCAATTCTAGCCAGGGAGGGGTCCTGGAGAACTTTATTGCAAAAGTAGCCTTTGTGGAATGGGCAGCCTTTGGGTATGTGAATCCAGGAAAAGAAAGGCATCCCGGGCTGAAGGGACAGCCTAAGGAAAGTGTGGAGAAAAATCTGTGGGCTGCTCAGTTTGACTAGGAGGTCTGTCCAAATACCCACCCACCCATCCACCTATCCATTCATTCACCTACCCATCCATCTATCTACCCACCTAACCATCCACCCCTCCGCCTACCCACCCTTCCATCTATCCATCCATCCATCTGTCCATCCATCCGTCCATCCGTTCATCCATCCATCCATGGCCATGTGCATGGAACAGGTGAACAAAGTAGGAAGATCTCTGCTCTCATGGGAACTGCGTCATTAAGTAAGTAGTGGTACCTCTAATAATTTAATTTCAATCATGATGGGTGTATTGGAATCTGAGCTGGTCAGGGAGTGGCATCTAT